AATAAAGGACATGGGCCTTTAATAATAAATGGTATGGACCTAACAGAAGTAGAAGATATTAAGAAGAGGTGGCAAGAATAAACAGAACTGTATAAAAAAGATCTTCACGACCCAGATAATCACGATGGTGTGATTACTCACACTCACCTAGAGCCAGACATCCTGGAATGTGAAGTCAAGTGGGCCTTAGGAAGCATCACTACGAACAAAGCTAGTGGAGGTGATGGATTTCCAGTTGAGCTATTTCAAATCCTGAAAGATGATGCTGTGAAAGTGCTGCACTCAATATGCCAGCAAATTTGGAAAACTCAGCAGTGGCCACAGGACTGGAAAAGGTCAGTTTTCATTCCAATCCCAAAGAAAGGCAATGCCAAAGAATGCTCAAACTACCACACAATTGCACTCATCTCACACGCTAGTAAAGTAATGCTCAAAATTCTCCAAGCCAGGCTTCAGCAATACGTGAACCGTGAACTTCCAGATGTTCAAGCTGGTTTTAGAAAAGGCAGAGGAACCAGAGATCAAATTGCCAACATCCGCTGGATCATCGAAAAAGCAAGAGAGTTCCAGAAAAACATCTATTTCTGCTTTATTGACTATGCCAAAGCCTTTGACTGTGTGGATCACAATAAACTGTGGAAAATTCTGAAAGAGATGGGAATACCAGACCACCTGACCTGCCTCTTGAGAAACCTGTATGCAGGTCAGGAAGCAACAGTTAGAACTGGACATGGAACAACAGACTGGTTCCAAATAGGAAAAGGAGTACGTCAAGGCTGTATATTGTCACCCTGCTTATTTAACTTATATGCAGAGTACATCATGAGAAACGCTGGGCTGGAAGAAGCACAAGCTGGAATCAAGATTGCCGGGAGAAATATCAATAACCTCAGATATGCAGATGACACCACCCTTATGGCAGAAAGTGAAGAGGAACTAAAAAGCCTCTTGATGAAAGTGAAAGAGGAGAGTGAAAAAGTTGGCTTAAAGCTCAACATTCAGAAAACTAAGATCATGGCATCTGGTCCCATCACTTCATGGCAAATAGATGGGGAAACAGTGGAAACAGTGACAGACTTTATTTTGGGGGGCTCCAAAATCACTGCAGATGGTGACTGCAGCCATGAAATTAAAAGACGCTTACTCCTTGGAAGGAAAGTTATGACCAACCTAGATAGCATATTAAGAAGCAGAGGCATTACTTTATCAACAAAGGTCTGTCTAGTCAAGGCTATGGTTTTTCCAGTAGTCACGTATGGATGTGATAGTTGGACTATAAAGAAAGCTAAGCACAGAAGAATCGATGCTTTTGAACTGTGGGGTTGGAGAAGACTCTTGAGAGTCCCTTGGACTGCAAGGAGATCCAACCAGTCCATCTTAAAGGAGATCAGTCCTGGGTGTTCATTGGAAGGACTGATGTTGAAGCTGAAACTCCAGTACTTTGGCTACCTGATGCGAAGAGCTGACTCATTTGAAAAGACCCTGATGCTGGGAAAGATTGAGAGCAGGGGGAGAAGGGGACGACAGAGGATAAGACGGTTGGATGGCATCACTGACTCAATGGACATGGGTTTGGGTGGACTCCGGGAGTTGGTGATGAACAGGGAGGCCTGGCGTGCTGCAGTTCATGGGGTTGCAAAGAGTCAAGCAAGACACGACTGAGAGACTGAACTGAACTGAACTTAGTATGCAATATTCCTTTTTTTTTTTTTTTAGCATCACTGGTGTGTGTGTGGGTATAGGTTACCAAAATTGAATTGTGCTGTAAATGGAGTTGCAGGTATCTAGCTTGCATTTTCCCCTTACTCACGTAATTTGAGTATCCTCCTATAGTAAAGCATTTTCTCATCCACTGAAACACTTATTTGAAGGGTATTTTAAATGGCTACAGGTTACATTTAAATGTACTCTGCTTTATGTGATCACTTCCTCTAAGGCTGCCAGTTTGGATCCAAGTGAACATTTATTCATATTTCTGATTCATTTCCCTGAGCTAAGTCCCAGACAGCCCCACTGAGTCAGAGATAAATACTTTAAGAGTTTCTTCTCCAGGGTGAGCTTATCATTTTACACTCTTCTCTGTAGCTTACAGAAATATGCACTGACGGCCATCACAGACAGATGTGATTGTTTAAAAAAACCTTTGTTATCATATGTGAAACAGCTCTCGTTTATCTTTCTTAGAATGCTACAGGGTTTGAGCTTGGTGTGTGTGATCCTTTTCCTTTGTGATTTTTGGAAGAGAGGTGATCTACCCTCTATTAAATCAAAAAGCTAATTCCTGCCAAGATTCCTTAGAACGTCCCGGATCCCATTCCAAGAGAAGAGCTGGGTGTTCTCCACACCTTGGCTCAGAAGCTTTCTCTCTCCCTGGGAAGTCCTGTGCGTTTCCAGGCAGCCTGCTTGCTCCCTCTAGTGACCTCCTTCGCAGCTGCAGCCTTGCTTCCTCGGGTCTCATCAGCACCGGTTCATCCTGGTTGGGACACCCCAGATGGGAGCAGCAGAGCCGGGGCGCGCCACAGACTTGCAGCCAGACCGTGTGTGCGGCGGGGGAGACTGTTTCGCTGCACGTCTGGGCAGCTCCTCCTAACGGTGGGCTCTTCATGTTGCCTTGACTGTAGGGAAGCAGCACGCTGGTTCTCACCCTGAGCCTGGTCGGGGCACGAGGTGGAGAAGACACTCTTGTTAGTTCTCACTTTCCTTTCTGAAACTCTGAGTCCTCTGGAATCCTTTTATGGAGGGGGAGAACTGTAAGTCAGTAGCATTATTAAATCAAACTTCTGTGGATGTCAGAGGATTCTGTTAGGGACCCCAAAATGACTGATCTGTAGGTACTCATTCTTTCCTCTAGTTTAGTTGGGAAGTGCTTGTGAAGGTTCTATAATGAGAACCTCCTAGAACAACTCTGAGGGGAGGACAGAAGGAAAGTTTGGAGAGCTAAGACTTCTAACATACGCTCCATTGCCCTTCACACTCTCACTCCATTAAAGTTTGTTGTTCAGGCAATAAAAGTAATACACGTAGTGATTGCAGGAGGGGAAAAAAACTAATAAAAATCACCATTTCCTTTACTCAGAGGAGACTGTTGACATTTGGTTTACATGTATGTATGAGCATACACTTATTTTTGCAGTCATATAAGTCTGCATGTTTATCCCTGCCTAGGTATACAAACACACACACAGTTGTCTTTTTCTCAGGATTATTGATGTTCTTTATGCGTTTTAGATACTAATGCTATGTTGTAGCCATCTTCTCATCCCTGACTTGCTTTCCTTCTATTCAATTTATTGCCCTCAGTTAGACGATTACCAAGCCCTCTTAGCCCAAGGCTGAGTTAAAATTACAGTTAGATCCTCAGGGAATGTAGCACATGCTCCGAGCATTAAACCGTTCTAGAGGAACCAATCAGAGGGTTGGGGCGACAGTGAGATAACAGTGAATCTGGCAGCTCCAGCTAACACCGCACAAAGGGTCTGATGAGGCCGGGAGAGGATCAGGGCCTTCCTGATGAGCTTACTATGAAAGTGAAAGTCGCTCAGTTGTGTCCGTCTCTCTGCGACCCCATGGACTGTATAGTCCATGGGATTCTCCAGGCCAGAATACTGGAGTGGAGTAGCTGTTCCCTTCTCCACGGGATCTTCCCAACCCAGGGATCAATCCTAGGTCTCCCACATCGCAGGTGGATTCTTTACCAGCTGAGCCACCAGAGAAGCCCAAGAATACTGCAGTGAGTAGCCTATCCTTTCTCCAGGGGATCTTCCCGAGCCAGGAATCGAACCGGGGTCTCCCGCATTGCTGGCAGATTCTTTACCAACTGAGCTACTAGGGAAGCCCATTACTAGTGGAAGGTAAGTGGATGGAAATCCTTACCTTGCCAAAGTCAAAGACAGTCACCTGTATTTTCTAACACAATGGCTTTTGTGTTTCACAGAAAGTCTGAGGTCTTTAGTCTGTCTGGAGGTTTGCTTTTGTAGTTGGGTTTATTTCCCTTTTTGCGGTGTTTCCCCTCCGTTGATGCTTTCGGAGTCCTCTCTGAGCTCTGAGGAGTCCTCATTAGCACCCTCCCCCCAGTTTCCTTGTGCTGTTTGGCTGCTCTGGGGTGTCACAAGCAAGGACACCCATCATGTATTGGGGGATTTCTGTGTGTCTTGAGCACCGTTAGTGTCTTTGACATTGGTGATTTTGGTTTCAGGAGGACTTTAGGCCCAAGGGTCTTGATTCCACTAGTGTTTAGAATTCATTCAGCTTCTGAAACTTCCACAGAGTCTGATGGGTGTGTTTTGTGTGTGTCCTTGGAAATATTCTCGATTTGGGGTTGCTGCTGAATACAGACCTAGGGTCTCCCACAGAGATGCTCCCACTTACCTTGAACAGGTGTTTTTTCAAAAGAGGTCCAAAGAATTGATAAAAGAGTGCTCTTCTTGTCATCACGCTAGCTCTCTGGAAACTAAAGTTACATCTGAGCAGTCAGGGTGTTTTGAATTTTTCCCACTCCCGCCCACCCCACCAAGATCAAGAGAAAATAGGAAACTTCGTCACCTTTTCAACAGCGTGTGTTTTCTGTCGTTCAGATGAGAAAAGACGTGAAAGTAAGGAAAATAAGAGCTGACCAGTTTATAGGACTTTCCTGACAGGTTGTCTCCAGCATTCCCTGGAGAAGGTGTCAGAGGTGAGGGTCACAATCCTGTGGGAAACGGCAGCTTCACAGGAGACCGTTGCCTGTTCCCCCGACACGTCCCCGACATCTTTCTCAGCAGAGAGGAGGTGCGGGAAGTAGGTATCGGATGGTTCCCAAGTCAGCCTGCCAGGCGGCACCCATCAGGGAACCCTGTCTTCTGGCCTGAGTCTGCCCGTTACCAAGGGCCACGTCAGAAACTAACAGTTGGCAATGTTTTTGGCATGATTATTTCTGCTTTACAAGATTTTGCCCTTCTTGTCTCCTTTTCCACCGCCTGTGAACATTTTCTTCTTACCCTGCCTTTGTGCTTTCTCCTTAGGCCGGAAGCTGAGAGGAAAAGCCTTTTATTTCGTCAACGGCAAAGTGTTCTGCGAGGAAGACTTCCTGGTGAGTTTGTCACCCAAGCAGGCCTGGCAGAAGGTGGTTTAAGTCTGCGGCGCCCCCCAGCGCCCCCTGGAGGCCGCACCGCTGGCAGGGCCTGAGTCTCTGAGAACAGGGCCCCAGCGTCCTCCCGCACCCCGCCGCCTTCCTCTCCCTCCTAGAGCGTGGCCAGGCACTGGTGCCACCGCGTCGCCCCCGGCCCTGTGGCTCCGCCGCCCGCACCCGGCTGCACGGCCTCGGCGCCCAGGCCGGGCGACAGGGCGGGGCGCATGCGCGGAAGCCCCCTGCGCTCTGGGCCGCCTCCCTCGCTGCGTCTCACTCAGTCCGGGGCTTGGGCTTCTCTGCACGCCCACGTCCCACCCCGTGTGCCGGAGCCTGTGCTGTGTCCGCTGCCTGCAATACTTTCCCTCTTTGTTTCCCAGATCCCCCGACAGCCTGCCTGTTCCCCGGACCTCAAAGTGGGTCACCCCTCCTCTGTGCTGCCGCCCTTGGCCTTTTCTGGCCAGCGGTTAGCGCACTGCCTGTCCATTTACAAGTCTTCCCCTGACTTGACCGAAAGTTCCTAGGGTGGGAGGAACATGCTGGTTCACCTTCACATCTTCAGACCTTAACACAGCGCCAGGCAAGGAGCCATGCCCGGTCACTAGGATGACCAGTGTGAGACCCAGAGATGGCTTGGGACCAGCTTCTTCATGGACGTGTGGGTTGACTCAAGATGACTCTAGACTCAAGATGACTCATGTTTGCTAGTAACACACAAGCAAAACCAAGGAAACCAATTCCTGCATGGCCCCAGGGGGTTGTTTCCTCCCCCTGCTCAGCTTTAGTCACTGGCACTGTGATGTGATAGTCAGATGGTGGTGCCATACCAGAGTTGACTGTCTCCCAGCTTCAGATCTGATGGGCTGAGTGCCTGTCCTGCTCCTAGAGTCCCATGGGCTCTGGGTGAGTCATCTGCTCACCCCTGGGCAAAGTCATGGGTGCTGGAGGCATGCAAGGCTCTGATTGACCAGGTCCTTGCCTCGGAACCTAGCATGGGGGGCCAGCCCCACAGAAATCATGGGACCACAGCAAAAATAAAGAACTCAAGCAAAAATAAAGAACTTCTCTGGTCCGGGAGGATCCCACATAGCACAGGGCAGATAAGTCCGTGCACCACAACCAAGCCTTTGCCCTAGGGCCCAGGAGCTACAACTGCTAAGCCCGTGCACCTCAACTGCTGACGCCTACATGCCTAGAGCCCATGCTTCACAGTAAGAGAAGTCACCGCAATGAGAAGCCCGTGCACCGCAACTAGAGAGTAACCCCCGCTTGCTGTGACTAGAGAAAGTCCACATGCGGAAAGGAAGACCCAACACAGCCAAAAATAAAAATAAATACAATTAAAAAATGAAGAACTGTTACCCGAGAATCAGGAAGAAGTGCCGGGCAGCAAACCCCTGTACTATGTGGTGTAAGGCTCCAGAAAATTTCCCTTTTCTTTTCCACCTTCCTTTCTGTTCAGTTCAGTTCAGTCACTCAGTCGTGTCTGACTCTTTGCAACCCCATGAATCGCAGCACACCAGGCCTCCCTGTCCATCACCAACTCCCGGAGTTTACTCAAACTCATGTCCATCGAGTCGGTGATGCCATCCAGCCATCTCATCCTCTGTCATCCCCTTCTCCTCCTGCCCCCAATCCCTGCCAGCATCAGAGTCTTTTCCAATGAGTCAACCTTTCTATTACATTTCCTTTATTAAGTTGTATTTGTAATATCTAAGCTTCTAGTATCTTCCAGTGTGTAGTGTTTAGTCTGTTTTCTGAGGTGAGTGCCTCATTTCTTTCCAGATTCCAGCTCTGTGTGTGTGTGTGTGTGTGTGTGTGTGTGTATGTGTGTTTTGGTAAGATAAGGTAAATAATATTTATCCAGTTTCTTTGAAGCTGATTGTAAAAGGCATTGGCTTTTAAAGAATTATTTATTTTTAATTGATGGATAATTGCTTTACAATACTGGTTTGATTTCTGCCATACATCAACATGAATTGGTTACAGGTGTGCACAGGTCCCCTCTCTCTTGAACCTCCCTCCCCCCTCCCACCCTTTCCCACCCCTCTAAGTTGTTACAGAACCCCAGTTTGAGTTCCCTGACATACAGCAAATTTCCATTGGCTATCTATTTTGCCTATGGTGATATATATGCTTCCATCAAGGCACTGGCTTTTTGACCAGACCCAGACTTGAATTTGAATCCCATCCTTACCCCTGATAGGCTCTGTGACCCTGAGAAAGCAACTTAACCTCTCTGAGCTTCCCTTTGTTTCCATTTGAGAAACAGTGTAATACATACCTTGCAGAATTGTTTTGAAAATGTAGAGCAGCGGTCTCAAACTTGAGCATGCATTAGAATTCCCTGGAGGGCTTGCAAAAACCCAGATTGCCGCTACCCCTCCATCCCCTGCTCCTAGTTTCCAATTTTCCAATTCAGTAGGTCAGGGATGGAGCCTAGGAATTTGCACTCTGACAAGTTCTCAGGTGATGCCAGGGAACGTGTCTTGGGAACCAGTGGATTAGAGGCTGATGCCTCTCTGCAGAGCCTCCTATGCAGAGCCTGGCCTGTCATGGATGCCTGGGTGCAACTGTTGAGAGATGAGCGGTATTAGCATTTGGAATGGCTCCTGTGGCAGAGGGTATTCTGTAATTCACCACACTGCTGTCCACAGAGACACGACCGATTCCTGAACAGAGTGACACGTCTCTCTAAGACATTCTTTGTGATCCTCGAGGCTGGAGGGGAAGTAGCTAGATTCCTCTGCCCCGCCTGGGCTGAACTTTCTTTCCTCTTTTCTCTGCAGTACTCTGGTTTCCAGCAGTCCGCGGACAGGTGTTTCCTCTGTGGACATCTGATCATGGACATGGTGAGTAGCATCAGGCGAACAAGGTGATATTGATAACATGGTGTGTGGGGGGGAGGCATTGTCAGAAAAACATAAATTAATAATTGAAAACAATGTTTCCTACCTTGATTTGTGATCATGGCTGGTTTTATTTTTATTTATTTATGGCTCAGCTGGGTCTCCGTCTCTGTGCGGGCTTCTCTCTAGTTGTGGCAAGTGGGGCCTTCTGTCTAGTTGTGATGCGTGGGCTTCTCACTGCAGAGGCTTCTCCTGTTTCAGATCACAGGCCTAGGTACATGGGCTTCAGCAGTTGCGGCTCCTAAGCTTGGTTGCCCCACAACATGTGGAGTCTTCCCCAGGCCAGGGATTGAACCCGTGTCCCCTGCACTGGGAGGCGATTCTAAACCACTGGACCACCAGGGAAGTCCCTATGGTTGGTTTTGAAGACCCCATGCAGCTTGCTTGCTGTAGTAGCCCCACATTTGGCTTTTATTGGAATTTGCATCCTTCACCATGCAGTCCATACAGGGTCATTTCTGAGGGTGTGCTCCTCCTCTGGGCTGTTCACATCATGCTGGCCTCTCTGATTTTCTCTGATCTTTGTGGTATCCCAGGTGAGATGTCAAACATTGTGTTTTCATGGAGAAATCGTAGCTGCTTTGGAATCAGATAAACACAGTTGCTTTCCCCCCATGTTCTTCCCAGCTGAATCATTTCCTAAGATGAGGGTGGGGCCCCATCGTTAGTTCTGAGATAGCAGAACAGGGAGCAGGTTTTATCCACTCCATTCCTCGCTCAGCCGTGGCTCTCTGAGCTTGTTCTGAATGGGGACAGGTCTTCCTTCCTGTCCTCCTCAGGTTGTGAGGTTTATGAATACAGGGTTCTTATTCTGTCTGTGGATCAAATTGTCCACCACTGGACATCGGCCCTGTCAGATTTCTTTCATATATTGGTCAGAGAGAATCATTATATCCCATTCGTTTCATTGCCAGAGTTAAACCCCTGTCTAAGCTGAGCCATTGATTCTATCCTGGCAAAGGGAATTGCTAGTTGTATTTTTTTACCATTTTTTATTGAGAAACACCTCAGAGGGTGCCGTCTTACACGCACAGCTGAATGAGTGTTTATGCGTCTGTGTGTTCAGCCGCTCATTTGTGTCTGTGTGACCCCATGGACTGTAGCCCACCAGGCTCCTCTGTCCATGGGCTTTCCCAGGCAAGGATACTGGAATTGGGTGCCATTTCCATCTCCAGGGGATCTTCCCCACCCTGGGATCTAACCCCTGTCTCCTGCATCTTCTGCATTGTCAGGCGGGTTCTTTACCACTATACCTATGTTAACACCATACAGATCAAGATCTAGAATATTGTCTATATCCAGAAAGACACCCACCATTCTGACCTCTGTGGCCCCAGACTTGTTTCACTGGTCCTGGAACTCCATACTGTAGAATCATACAGTATAGACTCCTTTGATCTGCCTTTTCTCACTTAGAAAATGTTTTGGAGATTCATCCATGTTGTTTTGTGTGTTGTAAGTTCATTTCTTCTCATTGCTAAGTAGAGTTTCACTGTGTGGATATAGCACCATTTATTTATCAATTCTCCTGCAGATGGGAATTTGGGTGTCTTCCAGTTTTGGGCCGTTTATGACTGAGCTGCCATGAACACTTGTAGGCATGTCTTTGATGGACAGAAGCTGGTTTTATGCTGACAGGTGGAAAACAGAACCGGTGCAGAGGAGACCCTGCTGCGCTCCGGGCTCTGACGCAGCGCAGCACAGCGTGGCCCCGTGAGCGGCGTCCTCATAAGCGGCTGAGGCCTCCCTTGGAACACGGGCCTCCAGCCATCCCCCTGGAGGAGGCAGGTGGAGCCTGCCTCACTCCCACCTTCCCCAGGTTCCTGCCCAACTCCACAGGGCTCCTTTTCTCTAGCAGACTTTACCCTTGATTTCAGAGCTCTTCTGACAAACCTACCGTATTTGAGGCCAACAGTGTCCAAATTTATGAACACGACTACCCTGTTCTTATTTCTCAATATACTAAGCCTTCTTTGGGCCTCAGGGTGTTTCATTAATCTATTGCTGTGTGTGTGCTCAGTCGCTCAGTTGTGTCTGACTCTTTGCCACCCTGTGGACTGTAGGCCGCCGGGTTCCTCTGTCCGTGGGATTTTCCAGGCTAGAATGCTGGAGTGGGTTGCCATTTCTGACTCTAGGGGATCTTCCCACCCAGGGGATTGAACCCATGTCCCCTGCATTGGTAGGTGGATTCTTTACCACTAAGCCACTTGGGAAGCCCTTATCTATTGCTACATGAATATTATTGATCATGATTCAATGTGTGAAGAATTAGGTCAAGGCTCGACAGAGCCGTTCTTCTGCTCCATGTGGCAATGGCTGGGGTCACTTCCTCAGCTGTGTTGAACTGGTACACAAGGTGACCTCTCACCCTCCCGGCTTCTTTCCCCGTGGCCACTAATCTTACTCAATAGTCTAGCCTGGCTTCCTTTCAACAAGAGAGAGGAAGTGGAAGCTACCAGTTTTCATTCATCATTGACTTAAAAAAATCTCAGAGCATCATTTCTTTCTCATTCTTTTTTTTTTGGCTATGCTGACGGACATATGGGATCTTAGTTCCTTGACCAGGGATCAAACTCGTGCCCCCGGAATTGATAGCTTGGAGTCTTAACCACCAAACTGCCAGGGAAAGTCCCCCTTCCTCATTCTGTTGATCAAATAAAGTTACAAAGCCGCTCCCGGTTGAAAGGCATAAGGATCGGCCTGTGCATACAGGAAGGAAAGGAACTAAGTTTGGAGACTTTCTCTACCCTGTGGGATAAAGCCAAATCGCCCCTGGATTCTTATAGGTCTGCTCTCAGACTTGAAAACTTTCAGCCAATGTCTGTCTGATAGTGACACTTAGTTTGCTCTCAGACTTGAAAACTTTCAGCCAATGTCTGTCTAATAGTGACACTTAGTTTTAACAATAGAACTCATGATTGCCACTAAGAATCATAACAATATAGAGAAAGATTCTTTCAGTTACCATTCCTTCAGTTACAATTCGGTTGTCTAGCTGGTGATGTAAACTGTATGTCTCTGCTCCATCTTTGTTCATTGAGGGAAATACTCTGGGCTTGGAGGTTGGAACTGGGCATTTTCCACCTGAAAAAAAGTTATTATAGCTAGTCAGAATGCAGCAAAATGGCATCATTACCCTCTGGCACAGTGTGGGTTAAATTAAGGGTCTGTTTCTGCCACGACAGCGTTAGACTGGGACAAAATGCGTTCCAAGGTCCAGATGGCCAAGGAGTCTTTGAAGCCCAGCCGCTTGTTCCTCCTACTTCGGCAGCTTGAGGAGGCTGGGAGGTTAATGAAATCCCAGAGGGAATGAGGAAGCTCGAAAGCTGAGCTTTCGGAGGAGAGCTGGGCTAGTACCACGTCCTCCTGGTGCCCCTGGACTGCGAGCTGTGAGGTGTGGCGTTGGCCTCTCAGATGGTGTCGGGCGCTGGAGGGAGCCAGGACCCAGCACAGCTTTCCCACGGAACTCACGACCCTCTGCCGAGGTTCTGTTTAGTTCCAAGTAGCCTTCTGCCTGGTGGGAGGCTTTCTGTGTGGTCCTACTTGGGGATGCTCATGACTGCTTTGTACGTTCCTCACCAACGGGCATTTTGGTGCAGGCTCGCTGGCGTTGATTCCACGGTTGTGTTCTGAGTGTCATGGTGCAGGTAATCCCAGAAACGAATCTGCTGCTGAATTATTGGAGGTGCTTTGAGCAGCAAATCACAGAAACTCAGCTCAAGTTTGAGAAGCTGGTGGTTCCCAAACTTTCACCTGTGTCAGAATCACTGTGTTAAAACACCCGTTGCTGGGCAGGGCCCAAGAACCTGCATTTTAATTAAGTTCCCAAAGGGTGCTGATGTTGCAGGTCCAGAGGCAAACTTTGAGAACCATTGAACTTGACAGCAAAAGTGTTCTATCTTACCTAAGAGGCTGGGGGGTAGGCAGTTCCGTGGAGAGTTAATTTGGTGACTTATCTCCCTCACTGAGGATGTTCATTTCTCTCCCACCTTCTGAGTCTAGGCTCTGTCCTGGTTTCAGGATGGCTTCTAACAGTCCCAGGTAGCAACCACATCCAGATCAAATGATGCTTAGAGGAAGAAGGTGCCTGGGGCTTTCTCTTGGCTGTGTTTAAAAGCAGCAATAACAAAGAAGCTTTACTTATACTTGGATTTGAGATAAGAGTCACGGCTTCTGGATTATAACTGCTGCAGAGACAAAGCTGCTTAGAAGGGGCACCCAGGAGGGAGAAGTTAAGAGGTTTTTTTCTGAGCTCTGCTGTTTCCTCATGGAGTTAACTTTTGTCTTTCCTTGTCCTAGACGCTTCTCAAATCTGGGGTGGGTCTTTTCATGGCCTTGCTTTACATCATTTCGTACAGAGAATCATGGGTTTTGATAGAGAACCCTCCCTGGTGGAGATTTATAAGTGCTGGAGAAGGATCCCGTTGGGTTTCTTCCTGTTTATGCCTGTAACTTGGTTAGCCTTTCCTGCCTCATCATCCCTCTCTTTTTTTTTTTTAATTGTTTTGATGTGGACCATTTTTAAGTCTTTATGAAATTTGTTACAATATGGCTTCCATTTTATGTTTTGTGTTTTGGTTTTCTAGCCTGAAGGCATGTGGAATCCTAGCTCCCCAGCCAGGGATTGAACCCATACCCCTTGCATTGGAAAGTGAAATCTTAACCACTGGACCACCAGGGAAGTCTGTCATCATCTTTTGACTTGGTCCACGTGAAAATGGGATGAGTGTTGTTCAGTTGCTAAGTCCTATCCTACTCTTTTCAACCCCATGGACTTCAGCACACCAGCCTCCTCTGTCCACCACTATCTCCCGGTGTTTCCTTAAATTTATGTCCATTGAATCGGTGATGCTATCTAACCGTCTCATCCTTTGCCACCACCTTTTCCTTTTGCCTTCAGTCTTTCCCAGCATTAGGGTCTTTTCCAGTGAGTCAGCTCTTCCCATCAGGTGGCCAAAGTGTTGGAGCTTCAGCTTCAGCATTGGTCCTCTAACGAGTATTCAGGGCTGATTTCCTTTAGGATGGACTGGTTTGCGGGTGACAGTTTCCTATATGGTCCCTTGGTCTGATGTGTCTCTCCCTTCCTTCCCTATAATCCCTGCTGAGTCCTGGCCTCTTCCTTTTGCGCCCCCAGATCCTGCAGGCCCTGGGGAAGTCCTACCACCCCGGCTGCTTCCGCTGCGTCATCTGTAATGAGTGTTTGGACGGGGTGCCCTTCACCGTGGACTCAGAGAACAAGATCTACTGTGTCCGGGATTACCACAAGTAAGGAGGGACGGGGTGGGAAGAGCCGCTCACGCCCCACGCTGGCTGCAGCCCTGCAGAGTGGAGGGCGGGGAGCCCGTGGAGGCATGTCTGCAGGCCGTTTGCACCGCTGGCCACGGTGCAGCCAATGTGCAGTGGTTTGGAGGGGTGCAGCCCAGGCCTCGGGGTCAGTGGATGCCGATGCAGACAGGAACTGGTTAAAGAATTATGTTTACTGGGAAAACAGGACCAAAGAAACCTATAATCGGATGCCTGGCTAGGCCTCTAGAGGAGTCTGCCAAGCCCTGTGGCTCCAGCCTTACCAGACTTCAACAGGCGCCGATTCAGGGCTGGCCTCCACACTCCCAGTTTGCATGAGGCTTCACCAGACACCGTGAGTGGGGGTAAACAGACAGGCCAGTCTCCACCCCCAGTGGAGTGAGGGGGCCACGTGCGCTTGTTACCGCTGGGGAACAAGCCGAAATCAGTAGTCTCAAGAGTGTGCCAGGTCCGTCTTCATAAAGGGGTTCATGTGACGTGGGACGGGCGGGAGGCGGGGCGAGCCCAACTGCTCTCTGCTTCTCCCCACAGAGTGTTGGCCCCCAAGTGTGCAGCCTGTGGCCTTCCCATCCTTCCTCCTGAGGTAAGATGCTTTCTCAGCTCTGTTCCTGGGGTCTTCCAAGACATATCTCCCTGGGTCGTTTACAAGGTCTGTGTCCTGTTCTCGAGCTGTGCTGTGCTAAGTCACTTCAGTCATGTCCAACTCTTTGCAACCCCATGGACTGTAGCCCGCCAGGCTCCTCTGCCCATGGGGATTCTCCAGGCCAGAATACTGGAGTGGGTTGCCATGCCCTTCCCCAGGGGATCTTTCCAACCCGGGGACAGAACCCAGGTGTCCTGCATTGCAGGCAGATTCTTTACCATCTGATTCAACTGGGAAGCCTAAGAAGACTGGAGTGGGTAGCCTACCCCTTCTCCATGGGAACTTCCCGACCCAGGGATTGAACCGGGGTCTACTGCATTCTAAGTGGTTTCTCTATCAGCTGGGCTACCCAGGAAGCCCTGTTCTTATACCTGTTTAAAAATTCTAAAATCTCAGCTCTGAGATGGTGGTGTCCACACCAAGAAGCCTCTCTCTTATTAGCAGCCTTCCTGAGCCTGGTGCCCTTCTTACACCCTATCTGTCCCTGTAATTTGGTCAGTTTCTTTAAAAAAATTTTTTTATTCTTTTTTTGGCTGTACCACACAGCATGCGAGATCTTCGCTCCACAGCCAGGGATCGAACTAGTTCCCACTGCAGTGGACGTGTGGGGGAAGTTTCTGCAAAGTAGTCTCTGACTTGATACTAACTCCCAGATTAGACGACAAGAGATGAACAAGACCCCATAGGTGGTCTTTTCACGGTTGACTCCAGCGTTCCAGATGGTAGACCTACACCCCTCTCACTTCCCCTCATCCCCTAACTGTGTCCTTTCTCCTGCCGCTGTTAGTATCCACGGCTGATTCCTGCTCTTCTCCTAAGGCCACTGTCGTGCTCCCCTGGAGCCCTCTCCCACCCCGTGGCCACAGAGCCCGATGGCCCCCCAGCTAGCCTCGGGTTCTTGCTCTCTTTCGGTCTAGGGTTCAGACGAGACCATCCGCGTCGTGTCCATGGACAGAGACTATCACGTGGAGTGTTACCACTGTGAGGTAGGCGGGCCCCTCCCTGCCCTAGAAGGCCCTCAGAACGCCTTGTAAAAGTCCAGGAAGGAAGCATCATGGGTTGATGGGGGCAAGATGCAGGCCAGGGGCTGTGCCCCAGAGCTGATGGAAGAAGTGGGGTGAAGCCTGATTTGGTGGTGGGGGCTGGAGGTTGCAAAAGATGCAGATGGTTGGGTATAACAGTCTTTTTACTATTTTCTCCACGTTTGTAAACACCGAATCCTGAACTGGTCACGGCTGCTCTCCCTGAAGCTGCAGAGTTGAGGGAGCGGGTGGCAGAAAGCGTAGGTTTCAGATCCTTTTGGGGGGCCAGGTTGTCAGGCAGGTGTGTCATTTGGGGGAATAGACTCCCTCCCCTTCAGCTTGTAGGCTGTTCTGTCTGCCAGGAGCCCCTTTCTTCAGCTGAGCCCTGAAAATCATGACGATACCCTCCCCACCGCCCCGCGTGCCCCACTTGGAAACAGGCATGTCACTGGTAGGTGTGAAGGCAGGTGGACCCCGTCGTTCCCATCTCTGCTGTCACACCCCAGGCTGAAGGAGTCAGCGGTGCCCCATCACTGTCAGGAGGGCCGGGGTTTGTGAAGGACACATATGATGAAAGTGCCTGTGGAGTTTCAGCCAAAATTAAGTGGACTCACCCACAGAAGGAGTGATTTATTTTGTGAGCTGTGGGCAGGGAGAACAGCAAGCGTGGGGGACATAAAGCTTGACCCCACTGCCAGCACTGAAGAAATAGGTGGGAATCACTGTCAGTGGTACCCCAGGTGCTGGAGAAAAACATTGAGACACTTGCTGGACTGTGCTTTTATTCACGTCGCAGAGTCAGACACAACTGAGCTAGTGAACTGAACTGATATATCCAATATGTGATTGATTCAACGCACAGTCTAGATAAAGGATTCTTCCGGAGCTATTCTATATCCTTTTTCCATCCTAAGTTTTAGAAATCTGGTCTGTGTTGGCCCTGCCATGACATCTCATTTCCGAGCAGCACCATTGCAACTGCTGAGAGCTTCCTGTGGCCAGTGGTTCAGGCGTCGAAGAGCACAGTCCAGACCCTCCCTGGGCAGGCTGGAGCTGCGTCTCTGTGCTGGCATTTTCTGCCCAGACAGAGTCAGACAGCACGCTCTGATGGTTTCTGGGTCTGTGTGTCGCCTTCATGTCACTCCTGCAATCTGTTTATTTATTGTAATTATGTAACTATGAAAGTATGATAAGACATTTACAGGAGACTTGGAAAATGTAGATCAAAGTTACATATAGTTCCACTATATATTACAACTTTTAAGTAGATAAATTAAGAATTTTTAGTTGGAATTTCAGTATCAAACTCTCAAAAATTAACAGAATAGACAGAAAAGTAGAAAAATAGAGTAGACCTGAAAAGCACTGTGAACCGATTCAGCATAAGATTTATACAATTTTCACACAACAGCAGGATACAAGTTCTGTTCAAGTTCCCACAGACTATAAACCAGGAGACACTGGAACACATCCAGGGATGTAAGACAAGGTGCAAAAATTTCATGGTCTGAAGGTATTGAAATCAGAAGGCATACAGGATCTCTTGCAGTCTGTTTTTTGTTTTGCCACCACTGCGTGTTTTTGCCTCACTCCAGGACTGCGGCCTGGAGCTCAATGATGAAGACGGTCACCGATGCTACCCGCTGGAGGACCACCTGTTCTGCCACTCCTGCCATGTCAAGAGGCTGGAGAAGGGCCCCTCGCCCGCAGCCCTTCGCCAGCACCACTTCTAGCCAGAGCCTCCCGCAGATCTCACGGCCAGACAAGGAGCCAGGGCTGCACCCTGAGAAGCCCACCAGTTCACTCCAGTCACCCCTGGGGTGGGATTGGGGCCGGGTGGGCCTGGGGAGGCAGGTGATTTCCTGCGTGTGTGCAGGGGTGCCTTTCATTGAACCAGGGAGGGGATCCCTGCCGGTCTGGGACTGTGTATTTTCCAAGTGCCTTTCTCTCCGCTGCCACACCCTCATCAGATGACTCAGGAAGACACCCCGGCAAGCGCGTGGCATGTGACGGATCTCAGTAACGCGACCGAGTGAACCCTCCTGTCCTTTCTGGAGGGGCTCATGCTTCAGAGGGAGAGACTTGCACTCAGCGCATGCTCTGGAGAGAGATTTCAGCTGCCAGTGTGTTCAGTCCTTTCCCTCCGCTTTGGGAAATACCTGCACCCAAACATCCCCTCCCAACCACACACACACACACACACACACACACACACACTCCCTCCCAGACACACACACTCCCTCCCAGACACACACACACACACTCCCTCCCAGACACACACACACACACTCCCTCCCAGACACACACACACACACTCCCTCCCAAACACACACACATACACACACACACCCTCCCAGACACACACACTCCCTCCCAGACACACACACACCCCCTCGCCGCCCCCACAAACACCCCTTCCCAACCGCATACACACACACCCAAACACCGCCCCCCCGACACACACACCATAATTTAAGACTTCCACTCCAGAGCTTCACTTCTGTAGAATGGCTGCAAATTTTAATTGCATCCTTGCAAAAGGGAAGTTCTAACATGTGCTCTGCATCTTAGGAGGAATTCACTTGGTTAAAGCAGAACCAAGATTTGAAATGAGATGGAATTTCCTCCTCGTACCCGGATAGCATTCTGGTGCCCCTGCAGATCCTCATGCCTTTAAAGGCAGCCGGGGGGTCTGACGGAGGTCGACCCTGTTCTATCCAAGTGGGCTTTGGGATGAGAACTTGGTGCGGGCGCCAGGCCTCTTTTGCCCACCTGTTTGCCCTTTTCCCTCTGGAGCTCTCGAGAGTCTGGAACTTCAGAGTTGCTCCTGCAAAGGCAGGACTCAGGATCTTCTGTGGGGATCGTCTTGTGTTTCGCTTATTTAACATGGGCTTTGGGAAAGGGTGCCCGCATGTACTGAGACCTAGCCCCTTATAAACGAGGAGACTGTGTGTGTGTGTGCGATCTCAAAGCCAGCCTGGGAGAGAGAATCAGCTTAAGTTATTCTGTCCATTTCACAGCTTCTCTCTCGCCCAGTTCTCGGCCCAGGCGTTACATCTGAAGAAACCAGTTTTAAGGTACACTGCTTTTGTCTGGTTTTTTTTTTCCTTCTTTTTAAACAAGTTGTTTCCCTCTACTTTCAGTCTCCCACACACACAAAAAATACCTCAGAGAAAAGAGCTTCAGATTAAGGAGGGACTCAGCCATCATGCTGGACGCAGCCAGTGCATGTCAGGAATCTCTGGCTTCGCCCAGGTCAGCCCAGAGGGTCAGAACACTGAATCACAGCTAAGGGTCAGCTGGGGACAGATCTGATTGACACTGGGTACTCTTGCTTATTCACTGCATCATCCTGGTTCCCCCAGGGTAGCCGGGCCTAAGGGCCACACCCTGGCAGGATTTCAAGGCCAGAGTCCGCCCTGTGTGTCACACGCCTGAGGCCAGAGGTCAGTACCCTTTGGTATTTCAATGAGAAGAAAGTGGAAGAAAAAGGTTGGCTGGCACTCACCCTCCCAGCCCATGGGGAGGAGACCTGGGCCTTGTTGCCAGAAGGCAGGGGCCATCTCACTGCTGCCAGCCCGGCCGGGAACACAGCGGCCGTCGGCTGCTCTCTGCCTCCTGGCCTCACACCGAGTCAGGGATTGGGTGGCTGGGACCTCGGAGGGTGTCCGTGGAACCCAAAGGCACAAGGGACTCACAGGCTATTCACTGGCCCTACTGTACTTGTAGGCCATGTTTTGCCTCATTTGCTGGCAGCTGCCTGTAAGCAGCACGGAACTGGCCGTGGCTTGTCTTTTCCATTTCGGTTAATTTCATTCCACTGCGATGCTTTGGCCAGATGTCTCTTCAACCCAGGCTGTGATGTTTGCTTCCACTGGTTCCCTTTCACAGGCTGAGCCTCTTAAAAACCAGTGAGTGTAGGCGGGCTGGGGAAGCGAACCCTGGGGTCACCCCTCCCTTCCCAGTACATCATCCAGCTCAGCCTCGGTGAGGCTGGTGGACAGATGGAGCCAGTCAGTATGTCTTAACCTGCCTCGGCCAACTTAGGTTGATTTCTGGCCTTGATGACAGGCCTTTGCTCCACTTTCAAGTCAAGCAGAGCAAAGAAAACTGCCTTGGAGTCATGTCAGAAGTAGAGGATTTGTTTGCAAATTGGTTAACAGTTGACCTTTGAACAACACAGGTTTGAATTGCCTGTGTCCACTGATACGTGGCTCTTTTTCAGTAGTTAAATACGGCAGTCGGCACTACACAATCTGTGGTTGGTTGAATCCACAATGCAGGGGGACCATGGTTACAGACGGCTGACTGTAAGTTATATGAGGATTAATCCTAGGGTTGTTTGAAGAGCAACTCTTGTTTAAAAACCAGTGATTGATTTTTGAAATGAAAATTTTAAAGTGAACTCGACTGAGGCAATTTTGGTATCTCAGCAAATATTTCATACCATTGAGGAAGAAAAGAACAGTAACAGAATTTTAGACATTCTAGAAATCTGAGCAGCAGCTTATTATCAGGTTCCCCTGGAGAGGGTACTGGGTAGGAATCTTGTGCCAGTTCTGTCTCCTCCTCAGGCCCTTGCACAAAAGCCATGAATAGATGCACACTTACCAGGTGTTTTAAACTTTCTATAATTTATTAACCAAATCAAGCTGTAATGGGTAGTTATTTATAGGTGTGTGGAAAGAACATGGGCTTTCCAGGTGGCACTAGTGGTAAAGAATCCACCTGCCAAATGCAGGAGACATAATAGACCCAGGTTCGATCCGTGGGTCAGGAAGATCCCCTAGAGGAGGAAATGGCAATTTACTCCAGAATTCTTATCTAGAGAATCCCATGAACAGAGGAGCCTGGCGGGCTACAGTCCATAGTATTGCAATGAGTCGGACACAACTGAAGCAACTTAGCACACACACACAGAATACACAAGCGCTTCCTAGACTAGGAAGAATAAGTTTGTTTCAAAAGGTAGAGCGGATAGCCCTATTTTGAGTTTCGACTTTAGATAAAACAAGAATTATGGCTGATTCCAGACCCCAGAGCCAGCCTCCAACCTTACCCCTTGCTTCACTTTGCCCCTTAGTTTTTTTTCTTGTCATTTTTTCCACCCCAGCTAGGGTCCTTCAAAGACTGGGTGCCCTGAGCAAAGCCAGTTGGGCCTATGGTATCAAGATTCTCTCTGCTGTTATCCTCCCATCCATGGCTGAGTAGAAAGTGATTTGTTCATTTTTTATAAGGAAGGGCATTGAGTCCTGTTGGGTCATTGTCTGCATGTGGTGGCAGGACTGCTTCTCCGTGGTTATAGCGCTTGAGTGAAAACCGTTTTCAGCCGAGTCCACTCCTGAGTCCTGGGCGGCCAGTGATGTAATCAAAGAGTTCCGATCGCTTTCAGGTCCTGCCATTGGCTTGTTTCCCTGGGCTCGAGTCACCCACGATGAAAAAGAATAATGGTAGAATTTGAGAGAATGATTTGGAATTCACACTTCTTTGCAGGCCATGTTTATGTGCTGGTTCCTACAAGTGTGAAAATTTAGAAGGGCTGTGATGGCTGCTGGTGCGATTGCAAAGAACGTGTGGAAGACTTGACCCCAAACTGTTGCTGTCTGATGAACTTATTCAAACCATGGGTCAGGAAACCACATACTTTGTCTTCTCCTTTGTGCCAGGAACGAGTCCTGATTTCCCAGTTACTATCTGAAGTATTAACAACTTTTAAAAGCTATAGGAAAAAGATGAGGAAGATGTGTTAGCTATCATTTGTTCTGAGCCAGAACTGGACAGATGTGGGAAATTTCCATAGAGTGGATGAAAAGTTCACTTGGCAGAGAAATCATTGTCCCCTCCCTGTGTCTCTTCTTTTACTTTGATTCAAAATACTGTTACTGTAAAATTATTCATAATTTTACTGTTACTATAAAATTATTCAGAATATTGTTACTATAAAATTATTCAAAAGATTGTTATGATAAAATTATTCAAAATTTTTTACTGTTACTGTAAAACTATTCAAAATCTCATGACAATAAACTGCCTTAATTTGTAGACTATTAAAGTGATCTCCACCATAATGATGTTTCCTGGATCTTCTTTTCTGTGTGTGGAGTAATAAGTAGATGGTGCTTTTTGCTAACGGGATTTGGTCTTTTAGAGCTCTGGGGTGTTTTTTTTCCTTGCCATTATGGTTTATCACAGGATATTGAATCCCAGAGGTGAGTGACCCTCTAGATTTAAGGCAGACATGTGCAGGAAGGCAGGTCTTACAAGGGGAAGGGGCAAGGAACGAGAGTGGCTATTCCAACTTTACAGACGTAGGCTGCTGTTTTTCTACAACTGACGCTACAGGGGATGAAGATGTAGTTGGGGAAAACATCTGGGTTGGGCTGTGCCCAGGATGAGAGATGAGGTCTCCTGGTTGCTCTCGCATGGAAGAAGGGGTGAGGAGCATATGTGATTGCCATCCATGAGCAGAGAGGGAATGACCCTGAGTCTACTCATGTGGTCAGCCCTCTGGTGCAGAGGAAGCCTTGGGCAGGGCACCTTTGGGATCAAAAGCCCGGATTTGAGATCTAATTCAGGCTCTACCACCTAACTGCTCAATGAATGTAAGCAAATTGTGTTCCCTCATCTGTGAAAATGGCTATAACAACCGAACTTAACTTAATGGGACTATTGTGGAATCGACTGAATTAGTGCAAGTAAAGGTTTCCCCACTGGCTCAGTGGTAAAAAAATCGGCCTGCCACTGCAGGAGACTCAAGAGATGCAGGTTCGATCCCTGGGTCAGGAAGATACCCCAGAGGAGGAAATGGCAACCCACTGCAGTATTCTTGCCTGGACAATTCTCCAGGCAAGAATATTGGAGAAGATCCCTTCTCCAGGGGATCTTCCCAACCTAGGGATTGAACCCAGATCTCTTGAATTGCAGGCAAATTCTTCACCATCTGAGCTATCAGGAAAGATACTGCTCAAGTTACAGGTCTGAAGACTTACTTGATCTTTCTATGGGGATGATCAACAAAATAAATTACAAATGGATCAAAGTACATGGAAGAAAGCAATACAAACAAAACAATTTGAAAAGAAAAAATCGTAAGGTAATTATTGAGTATATAAAAGTGAAAATTACTGGAGGTGCAAAAATAAAAGGAACAGGAAAATGTAAATAAACTAAAAATGTTGCAATGTGTTTGACAGCTAAAGAATTAAAATCCTTAATATATTTAAAAGTTCAACAAATCTATT